AAAAGTTTATCTTTATTTTAGCAGAGTTTTTCTGCCTGATGTTTTGGATTAATAAGCAGACGGCAGAAATAAAGATTAATCTCTGCGTTTGCAGTCATAACAGCAACATCAGCTGTGTCTTTATGTAAACCTGATCAGGTCGGCTGGAGCCTTTCTATGAAAAGTTTGAGGGCTTTCCCAGTATTCACAGTTTTATTTCTTCTTTTTAAAATTTCTACTGTTTATTTGTAGAACTTTGTCTAAATAAATTCCAGTACTCATCTTTTAGCCTCTTCTTTTTCGTTGTGTTGTGCAATTATTGGACAGTTTCTCTTCTTAGGGAGTGTTTGGAATGTAGAAAGTGTGGGAATTTTTAAAAATCATTTTGTTTTATAAATGTTCATTATATTATAAGACATATTTTGGAAGGTCTTATTATTCTTGTGGAATATTTTCAGTTGTTTGTGGATATTTTGAAGCTCTGTGTTTACCGACCACCTCTCATTAAATTCCCTCCAACAGAGCTTAAGACCTTAAAGATGTCACTCATGGAAATGTATTTTTCCATCTCCATCCTATTTAGTAAAAAATGATCTTGCAGAAAAGGGAAGCTGCTGCCAATCAAGTATTTTCCTTATCATGTTGGGTCAACATTTGGCAGAGTGTATCTGTGCTCCATCATTTCTGACATAATCCCTAACACTGACTGATATGTGGTCCAATCCATGACAGAAACTCCTTGTGTAGTTTGACATACCCCCTCCAATCTCACCAATCCTGTAGAATCCCTTTTTGACAGCTAGTCGTTCACCAAGACCATTTATGATGAGGCTTTGGCAGAAAGAAGATGGATCAACTGAAGGATGACCCCTCTCTCAGGATGTGTCAGAACTTTATACCTTTCCCTTTTCTCAAGGAGATGATTCTTTAGCCGTTTCTCTGCTGCCGATAAAGAAAACTCCATCTTATCCTCAAACAAACTTTCACCTTTAAGGACAAGGAAAGCTCCACCTTAACCATTAAACTGAGGGAAATATTTGTCATTTTAAATTTGTAAGAAAGAAAAATTGCCAATATACTAAAAGATGCTGCTTAGCAAACATAATTTTAAAAAACATTGGATCCAATCAATCTTTAGAGGGATTTAAAATGAATATCGGATAAAATGAAGTATACCCCTTTCACTTGGATTTTTCAATTCCTTTCAGACCATGTAAGTGAAATATATATTAAAAATGTCTGAATATATTTTACATAAATGATACACGTAATTTTATTCATCTTGGAACTTTTCCAGTTTTTCACATTACAGTGACCTCCATGTATGGATTTTGATTTATAAAATAACTGTTAAGTTGGTGGGAAAATGGCTTGAAAAACTTTAAATACCTAAAAATATGAAATGCATAGAAATTAACATGTATCCCGACCTCTTTACTCTGATAAACATAAAAAAGGAGCACTGGGGCCAAAATCTGAAGTAGTTTATACTAAGAGAGCTGGATATTTGGAAATAGTAATAGTATGGCACTAATAGGAAGCCAGAAACACCGCCAAAATAAACAAACAGATCAGGCATTGAGCAGAGAAACAAACTAAAAGTCCATGGTGGCTCCAGATACTGTAACTGAAGAATAATAACCTGTGCCCTCACAGCTAACATGGAAGAAAGTGCTCTGATTAGAGAACAAAACTATTATTTTGGTCTTTTCTTTTTAACACAATCCCCATGTTGCCTCGTGGTGGTGGCAGCATCATGATGTGGGGTCAGAGTTAATGGGAAGATGAATGGAGCTAAATACAGGACACTGTTGGAGGCTGAAAAAGGTTGGGGTGTAGATTCACCTTCCAGCAGGGCTACTTTAAACATTAAGGTGTCAATTAATGTGTAATATCCTGTTAAAAAGTGATGCTCAAAGACCAGTCCCATCCAGTCTAACTATTACCTGGCAAAGAAGCAAATGCAAAACCATCTATGTGAAGACATAGAAAGCTGAATAATCCAGACAACATGCAGCTGTAAGTACAGCAAACATTTATTTTCCTTCATCTTCACATTCATGCACTGTTTTGTGCGGGCCTATCCAATGTAACCAATTGAAAAGGGTTAAGTTTGTAGTTTTAACAGCACAAAAAAGAAAATATATCAAAGGCATGAATATGTTTTCAAGCCACTGCGAGGACATGTTCAAGTTTCTCTGCACTGCAGATCCACATTTAATCTGAATGTTCTTTACACAGCCAGACTTCCTTTAAAAAAAAAAAGACAAGAGGGGACACATTGACCCAATCAGGTTGTTTTTTTATTTGGAACAGAGTGGCAGATTAGTGACAGGGCGGTGGCGTGGAGGATCCGCCTCCTCTCGCTCACTCAGCCAATGACAGAAACTCAGCCTTAAAAAAATGCAAATGTATAAAAACAGGAATGGGAACAGCAACAGAGAGGTGTAGCCTCCGATGGGCTTCACGCAGGCGCTCACACATCCGCACCCAGACTCACATATACACAAATATACCCTCTCTTACTCATACACACACTTATATTATTTGGCTACGCAGGCTTGGATGGGTACAAACGCACAACTTTTTTTTTTCTTTTTCGACAGTCACTTTAGAAAAGACAGTAAGTGTTTTTAGATAATTCCTGCCTGTGACAAAGTGGCGACCTCGACTCTCCGTCTGTCCAATGGTGCACAGACAGGTAGTGGAGCACGAGAAGACGGTGAAGAGACACGGTCAGCGTGTGTGAGAGTCACTTTGAGGGCAAAGTCGCCCCACATTCAGCAGTGAGCAGACGAAACACATGCAAAACACCCACACACACCGGGACAGACTAGTGTCTGTACACAAGAGTCTGCCGTGAAATACCAAGGTGACGCACGCATACAGGCGAGGTGGTGGGTTCAGATGAGATACAGACACAAACACACACACACACACACACTGGTGAGGGGGGGAATTCAACACAGAAGTGGAGGAGGTGTGCTACCGTCTGTGGAAGAGCGTGAGAACTGCTGGAGTAGGTAAACACACTCCACCACGGTACATTCCAACTATAAAGCACCCCTCTTCAGTTTTTAATGCACAAACACACAGGAATCCTCACATACGCTCAGACAAGAATAACTCTGACTTCCATGCATTTGTTTTTGATCTACAGTACTGAGTATAAGAGAAGCTACTAGCCCAGACGCACTGGTATGTGGTTGTTGTTACAATCTCTTAGACTGAAGGACGGATCTCTATGTCTGCCTTCGCTAGAAATAAAATGGTCCCTCGGCGGGTTAAGGTTGACCACTTTGTTCTAGTTAACAAAAAGTTTACCAATAAGATGATTTTGTTTTTTTCATAGTAATTTTTTGACTCAGCTTAACTGTCACGCCTTTCATTCTCAAGCCGAACGCGATGCAAGCAAACGGCTTGGGAGGGCGGATTTTTTTCAGGATGACACAAAGACTGTACATATACAGCACCTTGCAAAAATAGTCATATCCATCAAAAAAGTCATATCCATCAAACTGTTACATGTTTTATGATACCACCTTAAATTTATATGAGTATTATTTAGGATTTTATGTAGTTAACAGTTGGTCTGTCACTACTTCTAACCTGTGATGCGGCAGTCTACTCAAATCTACAGGCTAGGGAGAGATGATTAATCAGAGATTCAACCAAAATGCTTGTGGTAACTCTGGAGGAGCTGCATAAAGCTGCAGCTCAGGTGGGAGAATCTGTCAAAAGGATCAATTATGAAATTCTTCACATGACTGTTATGGAAAAGAGGCAAGGAGAAAGCCATTGTTGAATGTAAGTCGATGTAAAGGTGTGAATGATCATAACTTGATGTCTAATGCAACAAAATATACAACATATAAAATAAATATCCAGCTGTATGAAGACTTTTGCAAGGCTCTGTAATTGTGCTTCTACAAAACAAATTAAACCAATGGATCAGTAGCGTCACGTGACCTCGCTTTTGTCACTTGGAAGATGGCGGCGATGCGTGTTCAGATGATGTGGTCTCTAGTCATGGTGGTCTGCCTGTAATGCGCAGCTTATTTTATCCGTGTTTGCAGAGTGTGTGCGTGCACGCGACAAGAGCACAGCTCGTCTAAGGTGATGACTGATGTGACGGATTAACAAAACAAAAAAAAAAAAGAATAAAAAAGATCATGCAGATGATTAGTGACGCCAGAAAGGATACGCAGATATTTACATATATACTTCTTACTCTTTTTAAATGCTAAATACAACATCCTCCTGTTTAAGGTTTTATTATTATCATCATTGTTATTATTATTGTTTTTATTATTATAATTATAACAATAATTCCTCAGCATTCAGCCCAAAAACATTGATATATTATTGATTATAATTATCACTATCAATAACTAGTCTTTGTACAGCCCAGAGGAGCAGAGGGGCCACCGGCTCGACGCGACTGAAACACACAGCAGCATTTTCTGGTTGACCGAGCAGAGCGAGAGGTCAGAGCCACCTTCAAGCAGACTCTGGTGTCCGTGTGCGGATGTGCGTGCACGTAAGCTTGTGTTTATGTCGCCGTGTGAATTTTTGAGCACCAAAATAGGACAGAAGGCACAAAAGACACCGTTCCTCTCCCCTTTGACCCTAGACTCTGCATGGCCAACCAGATGCTCGGTGTGGGAGATTGTTTCTTTTGTTTTGCTTCTGGGGAGATAAGGGGGAAGAGTCATCTCCCCCTGTTAGATCTTGGCTTCCTCTTCTAACCCCCCCTTCTTCTCCTCTCTATTTTGTATATGCCCTATAGAAACAGAAGAGGAACTTTATTTTTTGTTTGATTGTGCTGGAAAACACATAGTAGGGGATTTTTTTTGTTGTCGTTTTGTCTTTTTTACAAAATAATGGTTTCATCATCACATACAGAAACAAGAATCTGAAGAATATTAATAACAACAGTTACTTTAAAAACATCTTGTGTGTATGTGTGATTTCTCTGAATATATTGGATTTTTTTGTCCTTTTTTTGTCCTTATTTTTCCATTTTCATTGAAAAGAAAGTCCCCAGAGAGAAGGCGCTCTCAAACATTTTGGAGACGAGAGGGGAGGAGCGGGATGAGGAGATGAAGGGGCGAGTAGAAGCAGTAGTAGAAGGAGAAGGAGGAGGAGGGGGGGCTTTAGAGTATATTTCTCTTTCTTCTCTCACTCTTTCTCCCTCCCCCCAGCCTGGTGTGAAGTGCATCTTCCCAGCATCTGAAGGGTTATGCGTAAAACTCCTCCTGCTTGTCGGGTTTCTGGTAGGTGACCGTGGCCTGTTTGGGCTCCTCCAGCGTGTAGCTGCCCTCGTCCTTCTTCTTCATCCTGTAGACCAGCAGCATCACCAAGAAGGCGGCGAACAAGGCGCCCACCACACCTCCCACAATCACAGCTGAAGCAAAACACAACAAAAAAGGAAATGAGTCATTTCAGAGATAATGGCTGCACCTTCTGAGATTAGGCTACTCACGTCTATACTAACAGCACAGCAGATCTACCACAGCATCACAATCACCTTGCTGCTAACTGAAAGCTGACGAGCCCCGATGTGCCAGTATTTATTCTCCGCTGCAGTAGCTCTGTGCTAAATTGCATTTCTCGTAGTTTAACTTAATGGGTCTGGTAATTTATTTGATTCAGGATCCTCAAATCAATAATTCTGCCGAGAGTAAGAGACACATTTTTGGTTGACAAGATGGTCAGAAACTCCCGTCCTGTACGTAGATCACTTTGCGACAATTTTATGAAAAAAAATATAATAAATTGTGCTAATATTTAGTGTGAATCTTTTTTCTACTCTTAAGATGCCAAACATTGCAAAGTTTAGGTCTGCAACAGCTTTTTAATATTATCGGTTTTTTTAGTGGCGTCACAAAGGAAGTAATATTACATATTTAACAACTGCAGCTCAAAATAGTCTGACTGCTTATTTGCAGCTTTAGCCAAAATGAAGTTGAGGCCTACCATCAGCCACATCATAAAGCTGATGAGGTTATCAATTAGTTTTATAACTAAAGACTATTTATGTTTTTTTTTTTTTTTATCTCAACTATATTTGATCGTCGCTAATCCCTGCTAATCCCTGATTAATGGATAAATGTTTCTTACAGAGTTTTAGTAAAATAATAAATAGTTTTCTTTTGAGAAATTAAAGATCTCTTTTTAATTGCTGGTTTCCTGGACCATCAGTATTTATACTTAGTCTACACTTTTTTTTTTTTTTAGAGGATTAAAGTTAGGAATTTTTTAAAAGATTGCTTTTAGCTGTTCTTATTCATTCCCAAACCAGTTTTAATGTTTGTGCTGGAACATTTTCCTGAAAACAAACCAGGATTACGTCCAGATTCCAACTATCTACTTTAGAGGCTCTAGAGCTGCTGTCCTGCTACCTCCAAGTCAATCAATCACCTGAATTAAATGAACTGGTCTGAAGTTGAAGAACGAAAATCTGACAACCAGATTAATAATTTCAAGATAGACCTTAATTCTTATGTTTCAATCCACTTTGAGCAATGCATCAGTAACCATAGCAATGGAAGATACCCATGGCATGATGCTACCACTATGCTAGACAGTTAGTAGTTAGGTTTTTAAGGCTAATTTTAAGCCTAAACTCATCCAAAAAAAAGCTCTTAGTCTCTGACTTTGGGCCTCTCCTTGTGAGCTGCTACCTGTGGGTGTCCGCCTTAGTCTGCACCATTTCCGCCCACAGTTTGTATTACAGGGAAAGTTTTCAAAAGCATTACAACCGCTTCCAGATTATAATTACATTCAGCCTTGATGGCTCCTGTGTTGTTCTTAAATATAGTATTTGCATCTTTTGACATGGGTGTTTTTCTTTAGATAAGGAAAAACAAATAACTTGGACGCAGTGGAGTGTTCTAACAGGATACTGATCCAAATCACAAGGTCAAAGGTTGCCGACAGCTCCAACTCTCAAGCTTCAGTATATGAGAATCCATCCTTTAAGACCAAAGCGCAAAAAAAATTGACTCTTCTCTGTGTAGACATGATCTTATTTTTAAAAGGGCAGCTAAAGATATTTATTAATACATGCATTCTATTAGATATTCAGTTTGATTATCTTCAGTCTCTTTGATTTGTTGTCTTCATCAATTTCTTTTACTAAATTCATTCAATTATGAACTAGTTGAATCATTTTTGTGTTCAATTCCTTGAAGCCCTACGCTGTGATTTTTATCTGTAAACGCTGCTTTATAAATAAACATTGACATGCTTCATACTGACCTTGCATGGATTAGAGACAAAAAAGAAATTCTGACCTGTTATCCTCTTTTTAAAGCATGTATATATTGGCATTATAAACTAAAACTAGAACAAAATGACCTCTAACTTAACAAATTGTTTCGAAATCATTTGAATCTTTATTACCGGTATGCATCAAAGAGGCATTGAGGAAGATTATCTCTACATGGAAAATTTCTCTTCTTCTGCTAAAGCTAAAAATTGGAACACCAGACCTCTAATCTTTTTTTACTGAATCATAGTTGATTTATTTAGTGGATGAGATTAAATGGGAAAACTGTTTGGAGGAGCCAGCAGTTTGGAAAAAGTTCAAGGCTGCACAGGTTCACCAGTACAATCTCAGAGACAAGTCCCAATAGGACAGAGAGGCAAAGAAAAAAAAAGCACCTGTCCTGTTTAACTACTACATAAAAAGATCCTGTAAACTAATACAGATAGCTCTACGTCAAGCACACAGTCTAATCTATAATCTGTTGCCTCCTGCTCTTTACCGATGACCAGGAAATCAGCAAAAACCACCGCCACCAGTCCACCAATCAGAAGAGCTGAAGGAGAGACAGAGAGCCGGTCAGGCAAGTTGGCTGCTTCAGCAGTTTCTACAGCAGCTATTTGGGAATATTAAAGGGGAGATTGCTTGAAAAGAAACAAGATTTGGCCAAAGGGAAAAAGCTGTGAAGGGAAAGGAAGGGCTGGATAACCCAGCAGGAAGACTTCTTGTTCTCAGTGGATTGAATGGGTTTGCAGCACATAGGTGGAAGCAGGTAATGCTAGTTTATTTTAGCAGCCCTCAAGAAAAAGCAGAAAAAGAACACAGGAGGCAACATGGTGTTTTCTGTTCATCTAAACAGGTGATTTACTGAAGGTAAAAGGACCAAACCTCTAATATATTCTCACCTATTAGAACCTCTTTCCTCTCCAGGATGTTCTTCTGTGGCATCTGTGCAGCAGAGCTCTCTCCATTCACCGTGTTCCCGTTCAAGTCGGGCTCCACCGGCGGTAAGCCTCTACCCAGACCGTTCCGTTGATCTTCCCTGATCTCTGAGTCACCGCTTGGGCCTGCGGGGCCCACCTCATTCCCCTCCTGAGACAAAGACAGAGAAGCAAAACTTAGCAGGAAACTTTGATGGTTTGATGTAATTAAACTTGTCCCGCAGAGCCGCTGCCCTGAATCTTAAAACCCACAGCAGCCTGGAGAGAGTTTTCCATGACAGACACTGGCGTTTACAAACAATGACTCTCTGTATGTCCTGAACAGTGGAAAAGAGGCTTCCTGTCAAACAAATATATACACACACTTCATAAAATGCGGCAGCTTGATTTGTGATGTGGGAAATTATAGAAGCATCATACTGCAAAGCAGCTCCACTGGAAATAAACAGGTTTAATAAAAGACATGATGGCGGTGTGCAAATAAATTCAAAATATCAGGTGGAAGGGCAGATTTTTGCAGGAACAAACTACCGGTACTGTAGCACAGAGTTCGTCACAGCTGGTTTGAATTATTTACTCTTAAACTCAATGTTCAAGAGGAAACATCAAGAGAAGATGAGATCAGCATCATTTGATCACTGTAAAAACCAATGAAGGAAATGCATAAACAGATATTGGCTGTTTACATGTAGCCTGATCGGGACAATTCAAGACAAATTCTTCTTCATAAAATAAATGAGCCACATGTTCATCTATCACTACAGTCATTAGCACTCCAAGTTTCCTTTTGTCAATCATAAACCCGAACATCCTTCTGCTGTATGCATTTTTTTACTCTCTAAATGTCCTCATATACTCCCAGCAGGAATCTTGTACTTTATTCACGTTTTGCCATATGACAACACACCTACATTATAATTTATTGGCTTTTTACTTGGTAGATTAACACAAGAACCACATCATTGTTCAATGAAATGGGATGGATGCTTTACTTTCTTTTTTTTGTGCACAAATAAAAATCCTTAAAATTGGGGCATGCCTTTGTATTCAGCCTACTTGAGTAATCCACCTCTTGCTGCATTTGCTGCTGCAAGTCAGTTTTAGGATACGTCTCTGCCTTTACTGTTTGCCAATTTTTTTAGTTTCAAAACAGCTGCAACTTAGCCAGATTTCAGCATCTTTAAACATCTATGTTCAATAGTTACCAGTTTCTGGACTTCGGCTGCACTATTCTATTTTATCAATCATAGCTCTGGATGCATGTTTGAAATTTGGCCTCGATCTTAACTCTTCTGCAGCCTCTTGTTGTCCTTCATCATCGTCTTTCTATTCACTCTGACCAGCCTCTGTCATCCAACGTGTTTCATAATTTTGGGCGCAGTATTTTTCTTGAAAATGTAGAAAATGTGTTTGTTTTAAGCCTTGATGTGCTTCCTTAACTTTATAGCTTCCCTTTTTGTTTGAGCAGCTCTTTACTGTGTTTTTAGATCAAATTAGTGCATTACCTGCTGGAATATTTTGTTATTGTCATTACACTGTCACAAGTACAGAGCAACTAAATTAACTCTGTGCATTTAACCCATCCCCTTGAGGAGCATTGGGCTGCCATTTTGTGGCGCCCGGGGGGTCTTTGCTCAGGGAGTCTCAGAGTGGCAGTCCGTGGAAGTGGGGCTTGAACCCAGAACCTCTGGATTCCAATCAGAATGCCTCAACCACTAGTCCACCACTCCCCACAAACAAGCTACCGGTACTTACGAATCGGTTGATAACCAAAAATATATTCATCATGTTTTTGGCTCTTGAGCAAAAAATGTGTTTATTTCCAGTTAGTGTAGCTTTGATTATAACCAGAGGTGATGCTTTGATCTTTCTATTATTAGATTTAAAAGACAGATTCTTACCATAGATGGGCAGATGGGCTTGCATTTTTTCTTTTGGTATCAATAATATGTTTTAATGATTCACCATCTCATCCGGAAGATCATTATATAGAATGATGCCACCAGCGCAGAGCTTAAAACCTGGCAACAAGTGGGTATAAGTGAGATACTTGCCACGATGGGCAGTAACTAGATTTATTAAGCTAGTTTATTCTTTGGTTAGCTGCTTTTTGGAATGCCTGTGTTCTTCTATTTATCTCTTGTGACTTTTCTTACCCCTAAATGCTCCTCCTGGTCCACCAGGGGAGACAGTCTGGCTGATTCAAAGCAGAACTGAGAGAATGATGAGGATTTGAAATCATTTAAACCAGCAGCATTTCTAGCCTGACTGACTCTTAAAAATAAAAAAAACGTGTTTCCAAAGTTCTCAGGCTGGAGTTGTGGTTGCATCTTCCGCCTTAATAATCCTCCCACCCAGCTCATCAAGCCGCAGCACTGCAACCACTGTCAAGCTCTCATTACATTAGAGGCACCGATTAACAGATGCAGAACTTGTAAAGTGAACCACGGAGGCCGGATGTATGAGCAAAAACAGACACACAGCAGGGTCATTTAGGGGAATATGAAAGGTTCATGTTTTAAATGTGTACTGTGAAAACTGATTTTGATTAAATAAAAACCAGTAGAGCTTTAAAATCTAAGAAAGTACATTTGTTTGTAAATAAGAACCTAAATAATTCTCAAAGCCTAAAACTAAATGTGTTTTGTAATAGCATAGCATATAACTTCTCTGCCATGCAGAATGCCTTTCTGTTGATTTTAATACTTTATGAATTACACTGTAAATAATAAGACATTTTGATGAAGAGTTTTAGAAGATGACAGCAATGGAAGAAAATCTGGGAATGAAATGATTGGTTGGTTGATTTATTCCTTCAGTTTGGCAGCACTGAGTGCAATAGTGTAGATGGACGGGCCTACTGGGTTTCACTCTGCTTAGCAGCAAATGCTGAAACCTCATGTACAGTTTGAGATTTACTTGCAACCATTTGGATTTGCAAATATACAGCAAAAAAACAAAAACAAATGACTGAATCATGAAAATAAAGCAAAGTGAAATATATAAATCATATAATGAATAACTCAAAGATCTTTTCTGTCGGTATAAAGAAAAGTTATGTTGTTGTTTTTAAAGAAAATTCTATTTTAATTAAATTTAAGAGATTAAAATAAATATTAATCATAGAAAATCTAAGAAAAATGTATTTGCTCCTTCTTCCTAAAACTGAGGGGTCAACATTACCGCAGCACCGCTGTTGGCAGTATGGGCTAAAGCAACAACAGATTGCCAACACCTCTTTCCACCTCTGATTTAAATCTTATTTTATTTATTTTAATTTCTACAGCTATATCATAAAAAGGTGATTGTGTTTTGAAATTCCAGATGGTTGTCCACATGTAACAGATCTATTCCTAATAGAGCCCTTCTTTAGATCATTAATATGGGATTGAATCTACAGAGCTACCCATTTTTCAGATATTTGTGACATTTAGAAAAATCCCCCATAAAAATCTCCAACAAACCTGTGAGCTCAGAGACTAGTTGTGCTAATTCTAAGATTTGCATATTTAGTTACTTCTAAAGGAAGCTGTTTGCTCTGGATTTTCTAGAGGGGCATCAGCACAAAGGGGGATTGACACAAATGGATACCACACTTTTCAGATTTTTGCATATAAGGCGGTTTAAAAAAAATCTTTATCCTTCTCATTCTACTTCATAAATTATAAACTAATTTATGTTGGGCCTTTCACATTTAATCCCAATAAAACCTACTGCGGTTAGGGGTTTTAACATGCTGATAAGTATAAAAACTTTGGAAGAGCTTTTGGAAGGCTCTGCATCCTGCTGAATATAAACATCTGTAGAAGTGGGCAATCCAGAGTCCTGATGGGCGTTTCTGCCATGAATAATATACCGGTAGGTCCAGAGAGGAAAAACCCTGCTTAGTTTTCCTTCATCCTGTTCACTTTACCAGGTTGCTCTGTAGTCTGAGCAGATCCGTGCATTTGGAGATGATTCAGTACCCACAGAAAGTTCAAGTGTGCTCTGCATCTTAAAAGATGAATGATTTGGGTTGTTTCCCACCTGTGTTGTTGTAGGCGGCTCTGGGCGCGTCGTTCTTTCTGTCTGGACTCCCTGAGTAGGCCGTGACACTGGAACCCTTGGCCTGAAGGGGGTTCTGGTCTTTAGGGTGGTTGCAGCTGTGGTGGTGGTGGTGGTGAGTACAGGTGTTGTAGGCTCGGGTGTGGTCTCTGCTATGATGGGGACATCGTCCTCTGTGGTGGTTTTCAGGTCAACGCCGGGGTACTCTGAGGTGGGTTCGGGTGACAGATACACGTCGTCTTCATCTGGGATGAGCAGGTCTTCTGAACCAGCAGAGGGTCCTGCACTCTCCACAGCACTGGTTGACAGGCTGGTGGTGGACATTGGGAAGAAAGCAGGCGACCGAGGGGCAGTGGTGGTCTGAGCCGCCCTGATTCTCTCCAGCTCTCTCTGCCTCTCCAGCTCTCGCTCCCTCTGCCTCTCCCGTTCCCTCTCCCGCTCCCTCTCTCTCTCCCGCTCCCTCTCTCTCTCCCTCTCTCTTTCCATCTCCTTGATCCTCTCTCTTTCCCTTTCCCTTTCCATCTGTCTCTCTATCTCTAGCTCCCTTTCTCTCTCCTTCTCCAGCTCCCTCTCCACGTAGATGCCGCTTTCTCCCTCGGCCTCAGTGGTAAGCACGGTAAAGGCAACATCATCTGGGCTTGGGCTGGGTTCGGCTGCAGGTGAGGCAGAGGGGGCGGGGCTTGTTGCCTGGGTCGTGGAGAGGAGGAGGGGCTCCTCTGTGGTGAAGGTCACACCAGTTGTCTTCGGTCTCAGGCTGATCTCTGAGTCTGAAAAAGGAGAAGTGAGAGGGCCTTTGAATTATTTTAGGAAACAGACAGACCATTTCCTCCTTACAGCTTTTTGGAGGCAAAAAAGTGGATACGAATTTTACATTTAGGTTTACAAAAAGAATGTCCCCAATTTGCTTATTAATAAGCTCATGACTTAACTTTATTATTAACATTGCATTGCATTATATTGTTCTGTATTCTCACACACACACACATATATATATATATATATATCTTATCTTACTGTATTTTGTTTTTTGTATTAACTGTAATGTATACCAATGTCATTCGATTGATCTGTATTTTTTATTTCTGCTGGAATTTTGATTTTACCTATGGTAAAATCCATCCATCCATCCATCCATCCATCCATCCATCCATCCATCCATCCATCCATCCATCCATCCATCCATCCATCCATCCATCCTTATAAAAGTTCATGGGGCATTTTTCCCTATATTGTAGATTTCCATAAATATTTTTGCCACTTATGGTCTGAAAAATTTGCTGTGGCTCAAAGTCTCTTATATTCCCTCTTCCTGTCTGTTCTGAATAAACCTTTATATAAAGTTGTTTTCATCTCTTTAAGGCCTAGCAATACAGTGACTTGGAGACTTGATTTAAGAATTTTATGCCGATGCACTTATATGCAAAATGGAAACTATAAGTACAAAAAAAAAAAAAAAAAATTCAAGCAGGTTAGAGACTTAAAAAAAAGGGTACAATTTTAATTGCACTTTCTAAATGTGAAAACATTTACAGAAAATTGCAGAATTTATATGACCTTTTTTAACCTTTGCTTTGGTCAAAGCAAAACCAGTGAAGGGAAAAACTGATCCATACTCTGGGTGAAAATTGAAACTGTGTCCATAATGCAAATATAACTCAAAGTTTGAGCAAAAATAGCATAGAAACCAAAAACCACTGCTAACTGAAAAAAAAATAAAATGATCCCAAGACTATGCGGAAATGAGTTTAGTGAGACAACACATTTCTGGGAAGATTTTCATTGCATCTATTAGATACAATACAGAGTCCATCTCTAAATGGCTTCAAAATACACAAAATGAAAGTTTTAAGTAAAAGAAAGTGATATCAATCCAAGTTAAATGCTTTGGTCTAACCTTGCACAGGTCATCATCAATAATGGTTAAATTAATAAAAACTCAGCTTAACACAAATTGCTCCACAGCAAAGCAAAAGACTGATTACCAGCAGTCCCAAGTGCTTGATGATGGTCATTTCTACCAAGGGTGAAAAAAACGCTTGTTGTTTTTATGGGTCTTTACTTTTTTTTATAAAGGGTTGGGTTAGGTATTTTTCTAATTTTAAGTGAAATACTAATTGCGAAATAATGTTTCTATAACTGTGCTACACGTATGCATGGTATTAAAATTTGCTTGGTCATCTAAATCAAGTTTAACAAAAAAAAAGCAAAGATGAGCATACCAGGTATCTTTACGGTTACCTTTATAGTAAAGATCTAAAAAAATAATTGAGCCTTTAATATTTTTACACTAAGTAAGGCATTTGGGTCACCAAGTTTTTGTACAATAGTGTTTTTTTAAGGCTTCTAATAATATATTTAGCAGAGGTGCAAACAAATAAGTGTAAATGAGACCATGTTTGCATCTCAAATTCTATTGGAACGCGTTTTGAACCACAGATAAATCCATACTCTGGCTCATAGTGCAAGCAAGCATAAAATATAGACATTTGACCAAGTTTCAGTTTCTGCATCGTATTACAGGCACTTAAAACACAATATGTACATATTTCAGGGCTCTGTAATTTATAACATTCTATAAGTCAATAAGTCCAAAAGTTTTATAAAAGCTGGCAACACAGATTTTTTTTTTTTTGTACAGGTTTTAGCATTGCAGATGCAGATGCCCAGAGTAGGATGTTTTTTCACCCTGGTCAGCTCTGAATTTAGATCTGAATCTACATTTAGATTCAAATTTTAAAAAAGTTTTTTTTTTTTAAACCAAAAGTTTGTTTTCTGTTGAGAAATGAGTTACGAATCTTCAAAAGATAATAGAACAATATCATAGGAATGTCATATCTGGGGGGTAAAAAAAAGTTTTAATCTTTTTTCGTTTTTTCTTTTTTTTTTTTTTTGGAAAATATATATTGACATTAACCTGACAAGTTACAGTAATAATGTGAAGCAGTCAGGATTCGGCGAGAATTTAGCTTGCAGGCAAGGTTGTATTGATTTTAGAGCAGTCAAACCCTTCTTCTAAATGCTGTCCAGCATTTTGATATTCACTGTTTTTTAATGATTTCTCTCTGGAGATGAGCTCCAAGTATTTCAGATTGTAAAATCTCCAAGCAGTCAGCCTAATCTTTAACTCCCTCCACAGATACAAGTCAGGGCAACAATTTTACTTCCAATCAGAGGAAAAATGTTTTTTTTAAATCTAAAGATACCTTTAAACAAAAACCTGCCATGGATATGAATAATTTAAACCTGCCATAGGTATGAATAATTTGAACTGCTAAAAAACAATAACATTTGTTTTTGAGTACTTCAGACATTCTGTCTTTATTTTAAAAAGGTAAAACTAAATGAAGTTACTTTTAATATTCTTGCAGGAGGGAAAAGACATCAGAGAAATTAGCTTGTTCAAAGCGCAATATCAACCAGAAATTTTACTCCGGAAGCAAAATTATGATGGGATTTAATATTTTACTAAATAGAAAAAAAAAGATAATGGTTAACACTGGGATGATCGGAAGTGACAATCATCTGTTGTCATCTGACAACATGGACTTGTATAAATATCTCAGTTTCTATCAAACCGAGCCCCTCTAAATGTGAATTGAAGCGTCTTTGCCTTTCTAAGCAAGCTAATCTTAAATGCCGCTGTGCTTAATGACACCAGCACCGCGGGGAGGTTTGTGTTGTCAGATCACTTAAGAGTGAAATGATGACTTTGACATGGCAATCGCAGCCACAATGCATTTCTTTTCCCCTCTTATTTAGCTGACGGATGGCAGGAAATTATCCCAGTACATAGAGTATAGAAAGTTCAGCTGGGGTAAAACCTGAATAATGAAAAGAGTTGGGGGAAAAAATGGATTAGAAATATACAGCTTTGTGTGTTCACCCTATTGGACATTTAAAAAAAAGTTTATTTTTTGTTTCTTCTGTTGCTTAAAAAAGATTTTTTTTGGTCAGTCAATGTGGATGGAGATCTCTAAAAGAGTACCTGTGATGTATGCCATTTATATACATGAAGTGCATTTTCAGAAGGAGAACAGAGGAGATGAGCAGAGCTGTGACTCATAATATTATTACTCTGCCTTTCATTCAGTTTGCAGTGAAGCTCCTTGGGTTGAAAGAGAAGCAAATTGAATTTGCAGACACAAAGACGCGAAGGCTGTCAGAGGAACTGGAGAGGATATCGGAAAACGGAGTCCGACAATGTGTCTTATGTTTAATTTATTAGAAGCCACAAAATACCTCCACTGAAGCAGAAGAAGGAGACATTAAACACATTTTTGTCCGTTAAAAGCGAAAGGTTCAAATCTACATCACGGTTTTAGATAAAGCAATTTGCTGGGTTGCTGTTTCAACCACAGGGGGTGCCTCCACCATTCTCCTTCGGCCTGAATTTGATTTATTACATGCCCAACCACCAGCGCGGTGCCTCAACTGAAGACAGCCTTTAATGAATGACCCTTGATAAGAGGACGCCGTCCACAAGCTTCGAAGGCCAGGTCAGAAAATCAGGCTGTTGCCCCAATGTGATTTAGGTTAAGCAGGTAATTCCCAAACACGCAAACTAGCTGCTCTCCCCGAAGATGACATACGCTGGCAGGTAGTTGCTTGTGATTGCCTAATCTGTGTGGACTGTAATCCGATTAGAGCAAAGAAGATCTCTGAGAATCGACCCTGGGGTTAGTGGTTGTTTGCAACAATATGCCTAAGAGTGTTTCCTTCAAATCTGTATCCTGTAGATCCAAACACTTGTGGAGGAACTTCACGTTTTGTTTATTTTGCGATCAGAAACTTCTGTGCATTTTACTGGAGATGTACTGTGCATTTGCTTTCAGCCCCATGTGTCAAAACTACTGCAGCTACAACTGAAGGTCCTTTGGGGAATGTCTCAACCAGCTTTGCACATCTAAAGACTGACATTTTTGTCCACTTTTCCTTGCAAAACAGGTCAAGCTCTGTCAAACAAAAAGGAGTTCCAGAGGAGTGATTTTCTTGCCATAAATTCTGCGCATGTGCTTCAAACAACACATCTTATTTTGAATCCTGTTGTAGGTTTGATGTCGTTGTCCTACCAGTATCCCCAATGCATGATGGTGCCATCGCTATAATGTATTTAGCAAGACATGGCTTCATAGTTACACATGCCACATGTAGTTAAACCTGACAATATTTATTCTTATGGCAGATTCAGGTTTAAAATCATTGTTTAATTTGCCAAACATTGTACCTCTGACTAGAAGTAATTTACTTTTTAAGTAGCGAAACTGCAATGGGGGGGTGATGATTAGGGTGATGGCAAGGAGGTAATTTCAACGTCAAAAGGGTTTAAGAATTTTTAGTTGATTATGGATAAAACAGTTTTTGAAATGCCATTTCAAAAATTGCAGAAATGTTATCAAAATGAATATTTCCTTTGTATTGTTTAAAGGCATAGAAGATAATCTTTTATTTCCGGGTGGATCATCTTAATAAGTGGTCCTCCTTATTGTCAATCATTTTGGTGATATATTTACATAAGGCTACGTGCTCACCCAGTTAGCTGTCTTTTTTCTGCGCATGCGCACTTTCAGCCGTATATCTGCGGTGAACTACGGTTTCAGATAGTCATTGAAGCTCACCTTTCTCACCACGGTTCTTTTAAAATGGCTGAGTTTTGTAAGAGGAAAAAGTGTCTAAGAAGTGTATGAGAAGAAAAGAAAGGCCTCAGAAAAGGCAAATATATCCTGGAATGCTTTGTACAGAGAGCTCTCTGCGCAAAGCATTATGGGATTTGTTATCACAGCGGCCCATTGTCACCATAGGCATAGGAACGGTAAGTTAAGTGAGTTCACTATAAAGTCCACTATATAGTTGCTGCTCTATATATTGATTGAGGGATTTAGGGGTTATGGTGGACGGTCGGACACAGTGGGCTTGTATTATCTATAAGGACAGCAACTTTTAAACAGAGCTTGCACGAGGTGAAATTGGCTCATGCATGCTCTCGCACGCGTTTTAACAGGCGTTTCCTCTCGGGGGCGGGTACAGGGTTGTGCATGAGCATTTCTTTTCAAAGGAGTCTTTTTCAAAAATTCAAAAGTCCTCCTCTATGCCTAATTAGATTTGGAGAGCTGGTTTTCATATTTCCTATCAGCAACCGAAATCTCAGATGAAAAGGATATAATTTCCAGTCTAAATCTGCCAATTTTGGGGTTCTCCTCATGTATTGTGCAAAAGTGGGACCTAACCAAACACACATCCCACTCCATCCAATCCAATCCTTACTGCAGAGGCGACCGTAGGAGTTTCACCCTCCTGCTGCAAAGGTTGGAAAGAAATAAGGCAGAAACCCTGCAGGCACTGCCTTTCTAGTCACCCAAACTGCACAAACCCACCAGGCTTACATTTTTTTTCTCTACATGAAGCATGGTTGGACTTTATTTGATAAAAAAGGGGACTTCTGAAAGTCACAGATTGCCCTTTATTTTATTTAGTGTTTAGAACTACAACCCGTTTGTCTATTCATTAAATAAAATCTCCTTTAGCTACACTGAATTTTAATGAGAGAAAGTTCAAGAGGAATATATTCATGTTTATGAGGTGCCTGTCTGTGCCATGAGGGACAGCGAGCTGAAGTGGAGGGGGCGTGGCTGGAGGCTTCGGGGTCAGTAGATTGAAACCAAGCAGCTGTCGAGGTTTGAAAGAGCCAGGGCATGAGTGCGTAACCTTCGTTCACAATAACACCGACGCAGACACACTTACAGCCAGAGCCAGAGCCCGAGTAGAGGTCCTCGTCATCGTAAAAATCATCTCTCGTCGAGCCTTCGTCATCGTCGGACTGAGGCCACGTCTGCGCCTGATGGGAAGACAGAGAGGGAGGGAGGTGCAAGTGACAAAGATTAGAGCTGTTCGTCACGGAGAGCCAAGCTGTTCTTCAGTTTATTCGAAAGAGAAACCACTTTGGCAGATTACGTCCACACACAGACACGCACGCAGCTGTCTGAGAGGAGGTGCGGGCTGCATTATATGCTGGACAGGGTAACATCTGTCAGTCCGTGGCTCTCTGGAGGAGCATAGTTAATGAGTTGATCTAAAGCTGGGATTCTGGCAGGGAAACATCAAAGGTTTTTTCAGGGGGAAAAGCAAAGGAGAGGGGGTTTGGTGAGACTCTGCTTGTAAGTGATGCTCAGACTGCAAAGCACCAAAGGACAGGGCTGTATTTAAATTCTGAGGTTAGCAGTTTTTTTTAGTCTAAAAGGATACATGAAAACAGTTAATATGATATAACAAATATAACAGATACTAGAAAACTAGCTATTTTTTCTAATTCAAATTGACTATACATTTAGGCACTGGGCATTTTGAAAATCCTGCAATTATCATACATTTCTACGAGAAAAAAATTAACTCTTTCCAGACAGAATGTATATATCTTCATTAAAAAGAAGAGTAGAAGTTTTATAATCTCTCTCTATACAAACAAAATTGAGGGCTTTGTTGATTAAATAAAAATAATTGAAAATTGTTAAATCTCACATTTAAATTTATACTCTGAATATTAATGACAACCCTTTCAATTATAATGGTTCTGTTTCCTGACTCTCATGCAATATGACAAATTATGATCATAATAACAGCTCTATGAGCAGATAATTAAAATCATAACCTCAGGTATGAATTGTTCCCATGGCATTTATCAGTTGATGCATGGTTCCATCCTTAACCCAAAACTATTTGCTGCCTTATAGATTTCTGACAGATTTGTCACAATAACATGTTTTAGGTTAAACTTTTTGACTTTCCCATAAGGAAAACCAGAGGAAACACAACATTTAGTTTTCAAATACTTGTTTGTTTGAGGGAAATGATCCAAAAAAATATGGCTCAATGTGTAAAAAGTTACTAAACAGCCACTCAATCTGTTAAGGGTCCTACAAGGGTGATTTATCCAGGTCCATACTTTGACTAGGCCACTCCAAATTTAGCATTTCTTAATGCCGTTTCTGGTGTGCTTTGAATTAAGTGTATCTCGCCACAGACCCGACCCCATTTGCTCAGATTTAGCCTTATAAACTGTTGGTTCACCATTTTTCAGAGTTTTTAAGAGTAAAATCCATTATAGCATTAATTATGGCACCTTTTAAAGCAAAAGAGCAGCTCCACATCATACTATCACCATGGTGGTAGTGTTGGTTTATTGCTTATTGTTTGCTGTGTTTTTATTTAGCCGCTGTTTTAAGCCCATTTCACGTTGTTATAAAGGTTATTTTGACATTAATTCTTCCTTTTATGGGTCTGGTTTAGAAGGAGATGTGCCTGTTGTGTAAAGATAAGACTTTCACGGAGCCAGATTGGTATAAAATACTTTTTTTTTTTCTCACTTCAAATGAAATCATGAACAATGATGGCCTGTTTTATAAACTCTGGTTATCTTTGCCTGAAGACTGTTTGACGATCTGAAATTTTTAAGTGCGACAGCGTGAAAAGGAAAAAGAAACCTGGAAGGCAAAATATTTTCCGCAGCTCTGCATGAAACAAAAAGAGCTGCAAAGGGACAATATTGTAACAGGGATAGCAAAAAATACTTTTTTTATTTGTTTTCTAAATATCTAAAAATCATTACTTTTTTTAAACAAGCAAAACATTCAAAAAGCAACTACATGTGTATTTTAGGAATGTGTTTTTAAGGAAATATGTAAATTGTTTAAATGTGGTTGACAGATTGTTGGGGTTGTTTTAATGTTTGAACTTATTTTTCTGGGCTAAATACCAAAAGGAACAGCCTGTCCTTAAATATGCATAAAAAACAGATTTGAGTCCATTTGGAGGGCAAGTGGTTTTGCTTGCTTTAAATCCCTTAAAATACAAACAAGGAGCAAAAGGTGAATCCAGGGTATGAGACATATTTTCTAGTTAAACAGGTAATCAATGAGTTAATCACCCAACAAATTCAACACAATGAGAGTCTTTAGGGTTTTACCACGCTGTTGAGGTGCTAGCTACAGCACTCTGAATGCTCAGGAATAAAAGCATCTGAAATGCAAACAATAATGAAAGATAAATCCCAAGAAGATTTTCACAGGTCATCATGATCAGCTTTGTCAACAAATATTAAGACATCCTGTAAAAATAAGATCAAACCAACTAAAGGAAATATTAAATTTTCTGAAGATGTCAGAGATCCGTTCACTGATACAAGGAAAATAAAACCAATCTTTTCGCTTCATAAATGTATTTTTGCCTTAATGTTTAGCTTGAGAATGCGTTGATATCTTATTAAAAATAAAATAAAAATACTTGCTGTACAGTAGAGATTAGACTCAGTCAGAAATGATTCCACCCAACCCCCTCGCAGGGGTCAGGCAGGGGGTAATCGAGGATCGCTCTGATATTTGAATCTCTGAGAGGGATGACCCCATATTCTCAAACATTACGAAGTTGATCCCTCCTCCCTCCTCATTCATCTCTCTCTCTTTCTCATGACCTTAATCCTAGATCTCTGCGATATTTAACACACCCTTCAGCGCTCAGAGGCTTTTCTCATCACAGAGGGTCAACTGCTGCCGCCGCCGCATAACTGCTGCTGTGCAATAAGAGATCCCAAATGACAGAGCATGTAGAAATCTGTGTTGACAGTTTTTTAATTGTATTCAAGGTCACAAAGATTATTTTTAGAAGATTCGTCTCAGTACGAGGAAAGATGTTTTCTGTCTAGCTGTTCTGAACTACAACTTTCAAACAGTCCAGTACCCTGTATATTATACCCCAATGTCTCTAAAAATGGTTACTGTTTTCTATGCAATTTCTTTAAATAGAGAAAATAATGTGACTATAATTAAAAAGGAATTAAACTAATGCATCTTCCTATTTATTATCCCTGTGAACATGTTCTTGCTGAGTTTGCAGGGAGCAGCTTTATGGAAATGAGGATTGTCCTTTCAGACTTGATCTGAATCAAAGCTTTTGTGTTAACTTTAAGCAAAGACAATGTTTTTTTTTTTTATCCATTCTACAAAATCTTCAGAGATGAACCGCAGATGTATCATTATTTTCATAAAATAAGGTCAACAAGCTAACCCACTCTTAAGAGAAATCAATCAGAGTATAGAGATAGGAGAAAGAAAGTACAACCTTACTGCTTGTTGTGGATTTAAGCCAGGTTCTGATAATGAAATCGAATTAAAAGATTGATTGTCAGCAGGTGCGACCGCCTCTTTAAGAGGTGGAGTGTTTACTGGTTGATCTCTATACCAGAACGGAGGGACAGCTGGAATTGACTTTGAAGAAGCAAGCATTGATCAAGCTTATCAATCTAGTAAGACAAGCAGTCCAATGTTTATTGTTATACCTGGAAAAAGAGATTTCACATCTTACTAGCAATTGACACCCTGCAAATTCACCTCCAAGATCAAACTTTTAATGCTTTAAATATTTCTAAGATAAATGTTTAGGATGATGAATGTTCATATTCAAGGCAGTATAAAAATATATAGAAAAGGGCTAAAAGTTTGGAAGCATGCAGCCTGGAAGCAGATTCACAATGTCATCAAGTAAACAACCTTCTTTTGGTAAATAAATGCAAAACAGGGAAGTGCATCATTAATCATCAATTGTCATGAAAAACAAAAATATTAAATGAGCATAAAACCTTGAAACATAAGTCAAAAGTTCTGTTAAACATTAAAGCAGTGAAGAGTCATGCCGATTAATCAGACAATGATCTTCCATCAACAATGAAGTAGATTTATAACAGAAATAGTGAAATCAGAGTGGATAGCATATGTGTAAGTGCCATATTTTCGTAAAACCGGACGAAAAGAAACCATACTGTAGAGAAAAGTGGGACAAAAAAACCTTCTAAAAAGATACAATGGACAAAAAAATAACTCAGGAAACACTTCAAAACATTTGCTAGAAGTAGTTCTTTCTACAAGCTATCAATTAGAAGCGAGTTAGCCTGAACTTGTAAATAGGTTAGGGTCCTGGAGGCTTTCATGTTTCAGAGACAGAAATGATCCTGATCATCAATGCTGGAAATGTTGTACTCCCTAAAAGACCAATGTCACCGACTATCTAAGGTACCAGTCTATTAAGAGTTTATGTCTTTTGATTACCAGACATGTTCTTAGACAGCACCCTTATAGTCCCTTTACTTTAACACAAAACACAAAGAATGGTTCATTACACTCAAACTTATTTGGACTTTAGACCGACCAGGAGCCTCCAGCAAACAAGAATAAACATTTTGATTCATGATCATACATCAGTTTTTGTTTGTAAAAGAGGCAACATTGTCCCCACAGTTTAGACCTGTTATAATATTTTTGTTTCGCAGTAATAAAGTCTAAATTAATATTAAAACAAGCCAACAGTCTAAGACGACTTATCCCCCCTTTTGTTTTCTCTGTAAGTTCCAGTCTAAAAGTTTTTCCATCTGGCTCAGAAAACAAGGAAAATATTATATTTAAAGTTCCAAAAACCTCATCCGCAAAACAATGGGAAACATCAAGACGGCCGTGTTCGTTTCATATAAGCAGTCTGTGGTTAAAAAGAGCATTGTTTAAAGACTGCAGCTGAACAAGCGATCGGCCTCACCACCATCCTTCTTTCATGATGGCGTGCATTATCCTCCACATGCCTCCATATGTTGTCTGGTTGACACGTTATACAGAGAGTGTTCGCAGTAGCAATATCTGTATTATGGTCATGATGTCCTCTCAGGCTTCTGTTTGGATTTATCCGCTTAAGTACTGTATTTCCAAAAGTCTTCGCTCACCTGTCTTTACATATGAGCTTATTTGACATCCCATTCTTAATACATTATGTTGGTCCACACTTTACAGCTAAAACGGCTTC